CCACCAGCTGGGAAATACCTACATAAGAAATCTCTCTGAAATACGGAATGTTTCTGAAACTGGCAAAAGTTAAAAGTAATTGCTGTGATCTTCTTTGACCTAATCTGCGAGGAATTTGTGTGGATTTACTTCCCTCAGCGCAGCAATCTTGTGTCAATAATGTTGGCATGAACATATGGAATGAAGCTGACTTTCAATAAACACCCAACTGGTCCATCAGGATGGCAGGCGAGAGCCCCCTCTAAGTACGCTCTACCTTTCCTCTATAAAAAAAAATTAAAAAAATCATGTCACCGCAACAGTGAGGATTTTTTTTTTTTTAATTTTTGCTTCATTAAAATTAACTGTACAGCTGGGCTATATTTGTTGTCCATAACAACTGGCAATATGTCGTTTTCTTGTTTAGTTAAAACAACTGGCATTAATAAAATAAGGGCAGGTGAATGCGTTACTATGGTTCCTGTTTATAGTGCAGAATAACAGGCACAGAAAGAGCACAGAGACAGGAAGGTCACACTCCTTGCCAAGGAAATCTATATCTTTTAATTCAGATTTTGGTGTTAGTCACATTGCTCTTTCTGATCACCCTTTGCTGGACATGCAAGTTAAATTATGTGACTGTATGTCCAACAGCACTTTTTGCTTTCCTTCTCAGAAATGTTATGTGTCTAAACCCAGAAAAAAAGAGCATTCCGAAGTCATGGGATGAAGCAGATAGATACAACCTCACTCAAACTTCCTTAGAAATGAAAAATCTGTCTGCTTTGTGGTTTTGACTGCTACCTATGATGCAGAGAAAAGAAATGCACCAAGTGTTCCTACAGCTGCTAGTTTATCATTAGCACAGTCTGCATCTGCTTTTGGTCAGATATTAAGTTAAATAACATTTTTGTAGTAACAAATTCATTTCCTTGTGGAGTGAAAGTTCACTGTGTGCCTACGGTTTGCTCGATGAATGCTTCCACTCCCCAGCTGCCTTGTCCCACCTATCCCAGGTAGGGCCAGGAGAACACACCTGCCTCCAAAGACAGGAGGCACAAGCCCTTCATAAACCCGCCACCTGACAGGTTGTTGTTAGTATAAGGAGTACTGCAGGTGCTAGAAAAGATCAGCAATAAGAAGATGCTTTACTGGTAAATATAAAAATGAAGGGCCTTGTTTCCTCAGTCTGTCCAAAACAGCCTTCATGGTAGCAGATGTGCATTTCTTGGATGTATTTAATCTTACGCAGCACACATTTGGACTGCAATACTGCAGCAGGCAGAATCCAAGCCATGGATTTACCTTATTTTCCTCTTCCCCTGTTGACACAGGTTGTTACTGACTTCATCCACGTCAGTCACATTGGAAGGGATCACTCAAGCCAAAGGAAGGAAGCAAGACAAACTGTTTTTTAACAAGATATCATGCACAAATAGGAAGGGTTTGACTTTTGGCATAAGTTAGTTATATAATAAAAAATAAATATAATATAAATATCTTAGCAAAATATAATATAAACAAAGTCTCCCTTCAATTTTAGCATACAATTTTTGCCGATAAACTTTGGTCTGAGGAAAGCAACACAGTAAAGAAGTCTCATTCTTTCTCAGTTCTGCTTGAACATTCTGATAGCCAAGGATACACGAAAATTCCCTTTGTTATAAATTGTATTTCATTTTTGTTTTCCCCAGACTGGAGATATTGCACATCCTTTCTGTCCTTTCATCCATTTATTGATCCACCTTATCAGCACTACCTCAGTCATACTGGATAGAGCCAGAGACTTCCAGGAGGAAAAACTCATCTAAAGGAGGACAAGGAAGAAAAGTTTCTCACTTTCCTTCTTACTTTACTTCATTCTCTTTCTTACCAAGGAAAAGTTCAAGAAAGCCTTTCCCCCTGAAAAAATTCACAGACACTTCAGTGATGAGACAAAATGGTCTGCTGTGGCACTTGCCAGGAGCAAGCAATTACCTAGCATTATCTTCTGACAGAATGAACAACACAGATCCAGACAGGCTTTCTGATCTCTAACTGTCTCTATAATAAAGAAGACGTCAAAATGTTGATAAAAAAGTCCCATATATATTTTTTTGTTAATAATCTTGAAGGCTACAGGCAAAACTGAAATGATTAGCAAAAAATGTGACTGCTCTGCATGCAACTTTCAAGCATATATTGGATAAACTCACATAGTGGTCCTGTCAGCTCTAAGTCACTCCATGACGTATAGAATAATTCATGCCCCTCTATCCCTTTATTTAAGTGAATTTATGGAGTATCCATGCATGCATATGAATGTCAATTTTTTAAAAAGTTTATATACAATCACGCTGAAATCAGCTGCTAAAGAATATGGCCAGTTTGGTTTTCTTCCCATGCTTCCTAAGAGTCATACCATGACTCAAGTCTGTTTCCCAGAACAGTTTAGACAGTCTGTCTTGAGCTAATAAGATGGAGATCAGTCCAGAAATAAGCTAAAATTCCCATTGTCTCTGCAGACAAACAGAAGCTGGTGTCAGGGAATGTGCCTTCCGCTAGCTCAAAGACCGTTGATCAGCTGTGCCTGGCAAAGCATAAACAACACACTGCAAATATATGCTATGTATGCATTTTGGCAGGTGAACATGAGATTGTCAGTCTTCCTTTCTTTGTCAGTTCTGTGCTGGGACCATAAAGGACTGGTATAAAGGATGCAAGGATGCAATAAAAACTTTTCCTCTTTGCACAGATGTCTGTATCATGGCCATGAGCAACTGGCCAACACCGAAGGGGAGAACTAATTAAAAACAAAACGGAAAGATGAAGAAAGTTAAATTTAAAGTTTGGAGACAAAATATGATTAAAGCATTGAATTCTAATTAAAGAGACATTAGCATAATTTTTTTCACCCTTATTCTTTTACTTTAGGGAAACCAAGTTAGCTCTTTAAACCAACATTACTGTTGCTCTTACTATTTTGCTAGGATAACAAGAGGTGTGAAATGCAGAAGGTGGGTGAAAGGGAATTCTTGGAGGAAACTTTAGCAAGGAATATTCCAACTGGATACAAGCCAAAAAAATCCTCACCATGAGGATGAAAAGCTCAGCTGGGAACTCCGGACTAAGCAAACGGGTCTAACTTTATTCTGGCCATGTTTGAGCTAGGACAACTGCTTCAAATGCCCTTTGGAGGTCCTTTCCAACCTGAGTTAGTCTATGGTTATATGTGTGTGGCCTGACAGCAGACAGTCTTGTATATGTATGAAGATTCTTAAAGCCAACTGACTTAGAAGGAATCTCAGAAAAGACAACATGTTTAGCCAGATTAGTTTTGGTATGAAACTAAAAACTCGTTTTGGAGGGATGTCTTCATCCGAGAGCTGTAAAAGCTCTCCAGTTCCTCCTCCCCCGTGTTCTAACAATCTATAAAGAAAAATCTTTTGCCAAAACCTGGTCTTTATTAATAAAGAGAGAAAGGTATATAAAAAGAGTAAAATAAAATCAAATCAATTCTGTAACAAGAAAAAAGCAGAGGTTATGCAACACTGCAATTTGGCAATCTTAACTTCATATTTGATGCTGTAGGTATAGAAAGGTTAGAGGGACCTTAAGAGCTGAGACTTTGTTGTATAACTGAGCAAAATTACTTTCAAAGTATTAACAGCAATCAGAAATCTTAGATGACTTGCAATAAAACTAGTTCCTGAAAGAGAGCAAAGGCCAAGCTGAGCTGAATTAGAGCCTACCACCTTTTCTCTAGTGGTTCAGAAAATACCTTCCCTGCAGATTAATTTTTGCAATTGGAAGAATTCTTTTGAACATGACCATTGAAAGGGCTGCCTGCCTGAATACAGAAATAGAAACAGATGCTCAGAGTCCAGAAATTAAGGGTTAGAGAAGAATCTTACAGTTGCCCTAAGGTGCCTCTAGCACAAATTCCACAGCTGATAAAAGACTGGCATAATCATATCTGAGCCAATTTCCCTAGCCCTTGGCACAGCAGGGTGAGCAGATCAGATCAGAGGTGATACTTCAGGTCCAAATGAGAGCTAACTGAAAAGCTGCAACATCATCCCTCTAAAATCAACATGAATTCTGAGACTAATAGTGAATGCCATTTCTGCTGTCTCTTTCCACACTGATAATTTTTGCCAAAACATACCTCTGGAACTGCAGTCAGACCTATTTCAGCAAACGCTGCCTCTGACTGCAACACACATAAGTAGCTCTGCATCCCAGGCTGACTCAGAGCTTACTCATCCTCACTAGGGAGCCAAGTAACTGATTTTGTGTGATTTCTGCTCTAGTTCGGAATATTAAATAAGATTGGACATGTTTTGAAGGTGCAGAAAAACATGGGCTGCATAATTAAACCCTGTGAAAATTTAACAAATTCAATTCATACTCCATTGCTATATCCACTTTTTTGCCCTTTTCAGCACCTACTCCAGTTAAATTTGTCCTGAGGGTGTACATCGGCCTCCAGAGAAGAAACATACAATGTAGAGGAAACTATAAAAAACTTATCTGTTAGAGACTCACCTATCATTTGTAAGAAGATGTAAAGGTGTAAAGATAGTTTCCTGAAGCTCTGGTTAATTGATAACTTTGCAGCTGGTTAGGCTGAACGCTGTTTGGGGCAGGAGTCATATCTTTTCGCTCTTTGGGAAGCACCTGACCCACGTTGTTATACAAATAAAAATAAGGAATCATCACAGTGGTAACCGATCTGATGTTCCGAGATATTTCTTAAACAGGTGATTAAGGTATATCAGAGAGGGAAATTATTTAAACCAAAATAAACCCCTCAACACTCTGTCTTTGGTAATTGATTTTCTTGCGACCACGGTGTCTTTTCCTTGTGACCACGGTGTCTTTTCCTTGCGCACACCAAGTAGCACTATCACCAGTAGGACCACTGGAGGTTGAGTGTGGCAGGGTACTACCCAGCAAGAGAAAAGGCCATAACCTCCTGTCCCAAACCCATTTAACCTAACAGAAAAGAGGCCGCAGTGTGCGTTACATGGGTTACTCACGGCTCAGCTTCGATGCTCTGGTCAGCAGCAACGTAGTTGGCGGGGATGTAGCCCTGGAGCTTGCGGCCAGGAGAGATTGACCCTGTTGGCAGGAGGAGCCTAGCATACCACCAGCCCTCGTGGGATGCATCCAGCACTTGAAGCTTATCCCCAGCTTGGAAGCTCAAGTCCTCCTCAGTGCGAGCCTCGTAGTCAAAGAGTGCCACAAATCTGCAAATATTCACCAAATGCTGGCCAGGCAGTGGAGGTAAAGGTTTCTCTTTTATCTTACTCTCTCTGTCTTTCTGTCCTGCTTGGAAATCATGCCTTACCACAGCAAGGTTGGTAAAGACTTGGCCAACTTTCTCATCCTGCTCACTGTCTCTCCTTGAGAATAAGCATGGGATGTAGGACTCCAAACAGGCACAATGCTTCTGACAAAAGTTTCCCATCCTGTTTCCTTGTGCCTTCTGCTTTTCTTTTGCTTTTCCCGGTTGCGATACCCTCAGACCAATTTTTGCACCATCAACATTTTAGCTTTTTGCGGGATTTCTTCTCCCCCTCCTCCTTTGGCACAAAATGAAACAAGTCTTGGCACAGCTGGAAGCTCCTCTCTGAGTCCCACTGCGAGCTCATTACAGGCAGCTCCTGGATCAGCAGTGAAACCTGAGCATCCAAGTGCCGGAGCACTTGTAGAGGGAATTTCTCACTTCCTCTTCGGAACAGGAAAGCAACACAACAGCCACGCTGGGCTGAGCTCCGGGAAAACCGGGGGAGCGTGGAGCCTCCTCTCCCACAGCAGAACAATAAAGGCAGAACATCGAAGCAGCCGAGGCTTCTCAACTCTTTCTGCTCGGGATGGGTGTTCCCTTAGCTCAGATGGGGTCCTGTCATATGATCAGCGGCGAACGTCTGTAAAGTCTGTCTTGGTAATGATTAACCAAGCTGACCTGCCTGTTTCCTTAGCAGTCTCCGACGTGGACAGCTTGAATATTTCTTTTTGTTTCCTGGTTTGCACTGGTTTCGCTTCTTGGTGGGAAGGCTTTGCTCGCCCGAGGCCCGCACACGCCCTCACCTGGAGCGCACCTGCAGTTTTGGCTGTCCCTCACACCCAGGCACTTTCCCCTGCTGAGCGCCCGCCCTGCCAACCAGCCCTCTGGCTTTATTTATTCTTTTTTAGCTGGATTCGGCAATTCTTACAAAGAAAAATAAATATATGGGGCTAACAGTAATACAGTAATAGATTTTATATCATTTCTTATTCTGCATTTTAAGGAAACTAAGGTACTAGCCAAAAAATTGCTACAGGTAGTTGGCTAATTATACCAATCACATATAAAAATAATGTCTGTCTTACAGTCACCAAGTACACCAATGAAACCAAGCTGACCAGTACGCTCCCATTCCTAAAGCACCTGTAATGTGGCATGGAGACCCAGCACAGGTGTCTGGAGACTGCCGTGGCAAAGCAGCCTGGAGAGGCGTCCACCACATCCCAGCAGCGCAGCCCAAGCTTTATCACAGCTGGAAATCCCCACAGCCTGGGGGACACGGAACACTGGGAGCAGGAAGCACAGGAGATAGCCTGGCTGCACCACGCGGTGGCATTTCAGTAAGAGGCAAACTCTTACAGATAAGAGGTCGAGCAAAATCCACACATGGACCTATAGCTTCCTGGTGATAAAAAAAACTGGCTCCCACTTTTTTTTTTTTTTCCTGTCAGGAATAACTGCCATTTTCCTAAACCATTTACACAGCTCCATTTAGAGTTGCTGACTTCTGTTTCTTTACCTCACTAGAAAAAAAACCCCAAATAAATAACTTAGAAACCAAAGCCACTTGTTTTCACCATGTGTCTCAGTCAGTTCTTTGAACAAGGAGGCCAGTGGCACAGGCAGAAGCCTACTGATGGTCTGAGGACTGCAGGACAACTGAAAGAAGTCTCCGCTGAAAGTTTATCACTATCAGGTACATCTCCTCTGAAGAGGGGTGGGGAACTGCTTTCTCACTCCTCTTCTGCAATGCTGCAAAAGAAACTGAGTAAAGAAGAAAGTACCATACACATGAAGTGACGACTAAACCTCATAATCTGTAGTGAACCCTCTGGGTCTGATCAAAAAAATGGCATGTTGATTTTGCAGATTATGAAAATTGTATTTAGTTTATGAAGCACCACTGGAGATGATTTTTCCCCCACAACAATTATTAATCACCACCCAGATCAACAAGAACTCAGATATCCAAGAGATATTTACTTTTCTTAGGTCTGATGGACAATATCCAAAGTCAGGAAAGACCTGTATTGAAAAAGAAACTGTCTTCATTAGTCTTACCTCAAGAATTATCTACACTTACTGAAACCAGAGAATATTAGAAAAGATGTATTAAATAACCTGTTTTTTTCAGTTTGCATATTTGATAGTTTTCCTGTAGTGTTTTGTGGTGCTGTCAACTTGGGCATTGATCTAGCAAAGATTTGCACACATGTTTACTGCACAGAATAGTTTCATCATGGCAGTGGAACCACTTACATTATACAGCATCAATCTCATGCACAGCTCTTCTCAGGATCAAGGCCCATCTTTGCACTTAAGTACCAATATACATACACATTAGAAAGCACACTGTGTTCACTGACACCACCCAGATAAATATTTATAACTGTAGCTAGAACGGGGCTTAAGCCTACAAACATTTGTGTGTATGAATATCTTATATCAAATAAACCCAGGCATTAAATTAATCTTCTCTCCCAATTTATGCCCCTGCTTGGCTTTACATGACCAGAAAGACTTTTTGCTGGAAGTGATCAATAACTGTACATCAGATTACATTCCTCCCAACCAACTCTTCAGGACCAGTTCTATTTATGAAACAAGTAGACTTTAACAAATTGCCATGAAATACTCAGATTTAACGCTCTCCTCAAAAAGAGAGAGGGGAGCAGGGTTGCTGAGAACTGCTGAGCAGACTCCCGAGCCCACAGGGGGCAAATCCATGGCTGAGCTGCGGTGGCTGCACTGCAGCAGTGCCTCTGCCAGGGTCTTTGTTCCCATCCTGGTGACTTTATTGAGAATTCTCTGCATTTCTGAAAATAAAGCAGTACTCTCTATGTTTTAGAGACTATATAATTTTATCACAGGCGAGAAAAAATGAAAATGTAATAAAAATGTTCTTGCCGGTTTTACTGAAAAAAATAAAATCTGATAAATCCCATAATCTTAATTTTCATGTTCACAGTTTGGAACAAATGAGGATAATCATGTATATTCAGGGGCTTTTCAATATAAACTATTGTCCAAGTCCTCTGCACTGGTATTACATGTAATTTAACAGGATAATCTTTGCAGCACCGATTTCTGGGCTTAATGTAGTTCTTTCGTCTTGCATCCCACTATATTTTCTTTTTGCAAAAGGAGGCCAAACAGATCTGTATTGCTTACTGGCCTTCTGTATCTTTACTTAATTTGTTTCAGAGACCGTGTCTCAAACCAGAAATTGTCCAAATAAATAAGCTACTGGATGTGGAGTGACTGTGAAAGACTTAATCAGATATATTGATGAATTTTATTAGCAAAAATGCTTTGAGAAGGACATAAGAGTCTCACTGCATTCTTACAGCCAGCAATAGCTAGGGAGAAAGATTAATTTATTATGAGCAGAATGGCACATTTACACTATGGATACTGAAATCCAGTATTCTGGTCCCTATGTTATTAAAAAAATCATTAATATTGCAAGCAGATTCTTGAAATATGCAACACCTTAAAACAAAGATGGATCATTTACGATCTGTGTCTGACAGGTTCATATAAACTTAGATTTTAGAAAAGGAAACAAATCTATTCCATCAAGTAATACCTTCCCCCCTCAAACTAGGTAATTCCCCACTGCTTTTAAAGTATATTTCCTTGTTCCAAAAAGAAAAAGGTCCACACTGATGCTATAGGTTTGACGATGACAGCTATCTGAAGTTAGTTTTTGTATTCTATATGTTGCTTACAAAGTCCTATATAAGTAAGACTTTTGCAAGGAGCCTTACCCCTGCTTAAAGGATTAATTTGCAGTCCTCTAAATCCATTAAATCAAATTCTAATTAACTTAAAGTCAATATTCTTTAGGCTTTGTTTATTCTACAAAACAATCATGTTTAAACATGGTGGTGAAACATATTTCTCTTAGTCGCCTGAATGGACAGAAAAATAATGTATTAATATGATATGTTTTAGTAAGCCTAATACAAACCTAATCTGCAACACTGATATTAATTGAAGTGCTCTTGGAATGAGGTACAGCTTTGCATGAATTAAGGTATCAGACTGAGTTGTATTAAATAAGTGCAGATAAGATTTGAATCCATAATATTTCAAAAGTCTTGTTTTGATAGAATTTTTATTTGTGTTCCATACTTTTGGAAGCCATTTTGTATGAGTTTTCATTACAGATATTTCCTATGTTTATCAATTTCTTGCTGCTCTGTATGGAACTATTGGTATAATTACATAAAACCTTAGAGTTTTAGAAAAAATGAACCCTCCTCCACTTCATAAATATGCTGCTCCACATTTCAGAGACAGGACGTGAACATCACTGAGCATCAGGCTTTGGTACTGACAATACATGAAGTTTGAAACCATTCCCCTATGCCACGCAGAGAAGAATTACAGTCAGAACGGTTCTCTTCTGGGGAAAAAAGAATAATCCAAGGCAATATCCACCAAGAGTTTTGTTAAGAAATATGAGTCAGTTCAAACTGGAAATTGAAAAAGAGAGTGTTTTTTCTTAATAATAAGCTGATATCACAACAGAAACAAACATTTTCCTCCGCAATTGTTTCAAAATTTGTAAGCAGGAAAAAATGCCATCTGGGAAAACAAGAAATTAAGATATAAAATACAAGAATTGTAATTAAATAAGGTACGAAACTGCTGTCTGTAGCATCACTTTCTATATTGTATAATCTTTTTAAAGTCAGTAGTTATACTGCTGCATTAATATATGCTAATTTAAATATTTGACATAGTATACCTCGCTTAGAAAAACTTCTTAATACATTATGATAAAGCAAGTCAAATGTTCCAGCAAAGTAAAATATTCAAATAATAAGATCTTTAAAGAAATTAGAAGAAAAGCAAATGCATAATGCTCTGAATCTGTGCTTGGGAAATAATTTAAATGATTAAACCTTTTAAAGTTGTGTTGCTTTTTAAAGCTAACAAATTGAAACGAAGCACAGTGATTTTTTTACTACAGCTGTCTTTTCAGCTATATTTCTTTCCACTTGCACATTAGAATGAAACACATTACCACCACTTTGTAGCTTTTTTATAATCCTTTTAATCAGCACTTCCATTTTGTTTCTGTAATTTGCAAATTGCCATTCTTTTCAATGAAAATAAATTATGTGCGTAATTTTACTCTTGACAAAATTGTTTACTCTTATTGATTAATC